GGGGGGGGGGGCGCTAACATTCGGAAACGCGATAGTGTCTCGTCGTGAAGGCGGCCCGTTCCCGCTTCGCCCGCGCCACGCCACGCCTCTCCCCGCGCCCTTTGGCCGCGGCTCCACTAGATGGCGCTCCAAACTTGAGTTTGCTTTGTGGTCTGCAAATAGCCGCCCTCGCTGCGTCGGGTCGCGCGGGCCCGGGTGGCGGGGGGTTGGTCGCTGACTGTCGTGGTGGTGGTGGTGGCGCGGAGCCGAGGGGAACCCGGGGGGAGGGGCGCTGATGTGACATCAGAGAACGCGGGCGGTACCGTCCCCGCTGCTGCCTGCAGCTCCTCGTCGCGAAATACGCTTTGGCTGCTGCGTCTGTCGTGGCGTCTGTCCGGATGACACGGCTCTAAAACACGACGCAGACATGTTGTGTGCACCCCAGCGCCTCTGTAGGTCGAATCAGGAGCAAAACGGCCGACCGATTGCTTTACTTTGGTGCATTCCTGCTGTCCCCTTCGGAAACGCGGCCAACATTCGTTTTCCAGATTCTCTCTTTCACACTCTCTCTTTCTCTCTATTTCGCTCTTGCTTCTCCTCGCTGTCGCTCTATCTCGCGCACGCGCGATACTGTATCTTTGCGCGATACGGGGCGCCGAGCGCGCGCGCCCTTTTTACGGCGTGCAATGCAGCCGTGAGTAGTATAACCGGCCCACGGTTACAGGTTGCCTACCCTGCCCCTGCCAGGGGCACACCACGGCCGGCGGTTACAGGTTACCGGATGTCTCGGTCACCCGATCCCTTCTTATCGGTTGCATTCCACTCAGGGGCTTCCAGAAAAAACGGCTGTGAGTGGGATTCGAACCCGTGCTCTCCGCTCGAGGTACTAATGCTTTAGACCACTCGGCCAGATGGTTAATTGAGAGTGAGTGCTCACGCGGACTCCTCTTATAGTTGAAAGTGGGCAGAGGGTTTGGAGGAACAAAAATATATTCAACTGTCAAATCTTTTTATTTTTTAACATGCACACTTCAAAACACTATACACAGTACATTACAAGTACACTCGTAAGGTATAAAAAATATTTGCACGGCACATTGCACATTTTTGAAGCGTTATGATACAATTACCACAAGTGACCAGGTGTGCACATGGTAGGGCTACGACGTTAGCGTCGTTTTCTGTACAAATAACACATTTCCCCTTATCCGTGTCGCATTTTTCTTTGTCTTGTGTTTCTTGTGGTTCATGTTTTTTGATAACGCCTTTCATGTGTTCAGGTAAATTGACAGATGTTCTTTCAGGGAATGTGACGATTGTTTTATACACATCATAAATGAATTCCCTGCCTTTGATCAAAATGAGGAAATTACAGTGAGGGTTAAAAAGTGCATGCTCTACAAATGGCTCATAGTCTTCCTCCCAGTTACATAAGCCTAATCCACAATAGTGACAAATGGTTTTGTCCCCCTCCCCGTAAGCGTAGAAACCGGCTTTTGCTAATGCTTCAGGTGTGACCTTCGCGTTTGAAGGCCACCTACCGTCAAATGTTTTCAATCGGTTTTCCTCGGTGCTGTAATAAAGCGCCGGGTAGTTAATCTTTTTAAAAGCAATCAGACCAACTCTACGCATTTGGTTTTGTTCCTCGGGTACAAAAGCAGTGGTGGTGTCCCGTGAGGCATGTATAGGTGCATGGAATTCCATCTCTTCAATGGCAGGATCCCAGTTTGGTGGCACAAAATCGTCTTCATCATCATCACTCTCTACAAACCCCAGATCTTGGGCAGGTGGAAGTGTAAACGTCATGGGTTCGTCAATATGAATGGGAGGCGGGACGTCTGGCGCATCAACTTCTGAGTAGAGTGTGTGTGGATCATTTTCAGGTGTGGGTGTCGAGGGGCGATTTGTCGCCATGGCAGCCCAAATAAGTGTTGCTAATGGTGTAAGTGCTTGGTTTCCCCGATTGAAGTATTCAAGTTCAGTGTCGATATCACTAGGACTTTGATCACGTTCCATGAGAAATAAAATTAAATTAGAGTTAAAGTGGCCGGGTGCAAATCTTGCTTGAGAGGCGGGCTCAGGAGAAGGTGTGATAGTGGTGAGTGTGTCTGTCGAAAAAATTTGTGAAAAATATGGCCCTAAATCATAAATGTCTTCATCAAGTGTATCTGTTGTGAATATGTTCTGAAAGTAGGGGCCCAAGTCAATATCCATAGGTTGAGTGTGTGTTGCGCACCGCGTTTTGTAAGCCGTGTGT